GGAAGTGTTGCGAAACTTAATGACATCCTGAAAAAATATTTTTATCGGATTAATTTTGAACTTACGCCTTCAATAAAGGCGTTAGATGTGATAATAATTTAAAGAAACAATAAAAATAAAACAAATTAAAAAAATGTATAACTTAAGTTTTTATTTTAAATTGAATATTATACAATACAATATCTTGTACATATATAACAAGATAGGTTTTTATGCAGCATTCGTTTATGTTTAAAATTCTCAATTTTTCTTAATGATATGCTGACGTCTCTGCTGCTCGTTGTCAAATAACATGGCATGAGGAGCTGAGGAGATTAGTAAGTAAAGGTGAATTTAAGGAAGTAACTCATACTGAACATATAATAACGTCGTGCAGAAGATTGCTCACGGAAGGAACACGTGCGCGCAGAGTACTCTTGAGACTGATCCCTACTTTTGCTTAGATTAAATTTATCCCTATAAAAATGTGTCCTTCATTCGATAACGTCGAAAATGTGCAGATGTCGCCAGGCAGAGTATGAAACCCGCGATAGGAATCACGACGTGTCGAGCGTACTGACAACAGGCGGTAATACCGATCATATACTTGGTTTAGTGAATAAAGGAATTACTAAATATTGCATTTTTTTTCATAAACTGACTCTTTCATTTGTGTATAACAAAATGAATGATAAACAAATTAATTGAAAAATAAAATATTTGTTGAAATTTATTTTTGTATTAATTTATTTTTGTATTAATTTGTTTACTATACTAATTAAACTTTTGACGTTGCTTCTCTCACTTGTATATTGCCATTTATTCGAAGACGGAAGATCATTTTGGCTTATTCTATACTCACTTCTTACGATACCACGAGATAAAAATGGGGGTGATCTTATGCAGCCACCACACAGAAATGTGGAGCTTTGTTGTATATACCTATTTCCATTACTCAATCGCAGGTGCATTGTGTGTTAGTTTAATAAGGTGAACTAGTGACACTTGAGTACATATCTGGTTTTTTATAGAAGTAATAAACGAGCACTCCGTTCACCCTATGACAATTGAAAGTTGTGTCCTATCATCTACCTACTCTATCTACACTTAATTACGAATAAAAAGTTCAAATATTATAAGAAGGATTTTGTTGAATTTTTATTAAAGTTAACTGAAGTTTGTATTGTCTGTGTAAATTTCAGAAATTATGAAATGTGTAGAATACAAAAGAAATATTATGTTGGTATGAGCTATCAATAAGATTGGCGTGGATCTGCAAATATTGGCCATTGTTTATTTTAGCAAGTTAGGGAACGTGGGTGTTCTAAAAGGAGGCAGCTGAAGGGTGTCAACATTACCTCCATCCTCCATAATACTCGCAGCCCTGAACGATCAATCTTTGGACTATTAGGATGTTTTAGCGCCTTGATGTATTGTTTCAACTTCAATAAAGTTTTGATGAATTTTAGTGTTCTACCCAAACCTTTGTTTAATTGGACCGTCGAAAATTAATGAACAAAATGACGGCATATCAATGTAGTACTGACAACTAACAACAACTATATTCATTTACGCTCGTAGCATGCACTAGGTTCAATTTCGCTCTTTTTTATCTAGAAGGAGCTATCGATGTCCCGTTTCACTTCACAGAAGTGACAACGCACATGTAGGGTTTTACGTTTAGAATTAGATGTAGTGGCCATTTTTCATTAGGTGAGCTTTGAGCTTACTTGACAAATATTTTAGTAAACTCCACATTCTTAAAAAAAAACAGTATAAACGGCATATCTTTACAAAATATATTTTACTATCAAAAACAAGTAATTTAAAAGTGCTGTATTTTACATTTAGCGCAAGTTTTTTAAACCAAACTCCTTCCATACCTTTCCATTGTAGACGATTACAGGAACACGTAGCTCTATTTTCTTGGAATATGTCTCGGCAACCGGGCTATCTGCACGTGTGCGAATTCTAAGAACAATAATATTTCACCCGTTAGTCATCATTTTTCGTTTAAACACGATAGAAAAATCGTAAATTCAAAGAAAAGAAATTCCTTTAGTCACCAAAAGTTTCCAGATATGGGCACGTACTTGTGCATAAGCGACAATTTGAGCACAAATGGCGCCGAATTCTAATACCTCACATTCTTGTAGACGATATAGCTTTCAAAGTTATTTTTGTTAAAATATGAAATATTACTTTAAACTATTATTATCTGAATCTGGTCGCAATATGATAAAAATAACAATTTAGTTTTTAATGTTACTGTAAATATTGAATGTGAAAAGATTAACGCGCGACTTTACGAGAATGCCCAACTTGATAAATTTCAGATGGGTTGGCATCAAGCACAATGCAATCCGTTGTAGTCTGCGGTTATGCGCTTCTGACATTTCCATGAATCTGTTGCGGGCAAACACTCGATGGACTTTTCAATTGATTTTTTTGCTCTTTTTTCAAAATTGTTTATATCAACACTTGAAGGGTCAAAAAACGGTAAAACTTGTATAATAATTACTTTAAAAGGCGTGAGTGCTCTATGCGTGATGTGCGATTTAAACAGCGCTCGGTTTGCAAATACTCCTCTCCCTGGACGTCCACAAGTCGAGTGCACTTGATGGAGTCCCTCCCATCGTGCTGAAGACGTGTGCTCCGGACTTGGCACTGGTTTTAACGTGTCTTTTCCGGTACTCCAACTCTCAAGGCATAGTCACTAATTCATGGAAGGCAGATTTGGTCCACCCGATCACCAAAAAAAGGCGATCGCTCAGACCCGACCAACTACAGGAATATCGCCGTCACCTCCTCTTTCTCCAAAACGATGGAATCCATTGTAATGTGCCAGCTCATGAGGTACCTTGAGGATCACCAGCTAATTTCTGACCAGCAATACGGTTTTCGTCGTGGTTGTTCAGCTGGTGATATGATAAAAATACACAATAAAATACTTAAAACTTTTCCAATTCTTAAAATATTAAGGTTGTTTCGTTTTTATTTAAAGTTTTGTACTATATCCATAATATTATGTGTACTACATTACAGATTTTATTGTATTATATAATCCCAAAACCCTCTTTTACATTATGTTATTATAATATGCCCGTGATTGACTAATATTCCAACTAATGGTAAATGTTTATTATTTATTTTGTGGGAAGTTTTAAAATTTTAAATAAATTAGCTCCTGAGTCCATGAATCCTAGAACGAATAACAAAAGTAGCTATATTGCCTATAATAAGCGTAGGTCGTGTAGATTATAAAACCTATGAAAACTTACAAATTACAACTAACTGTTCTTGAAGTCATATTTTGAATTATGATTTTAATTAATAAGGCGTAGTAACTGGATAAATTTCTCTAATTCATATATCAATTGTTTTATAGGCAGCGTTTCTAAATTTCATATATAAATTGACCATAAATAAAATGTTCCGTTAAATTTGATGATCGCAACGGAAAACTGAAGCAGATAATGGGCAGCAGCATCTACCCGATTGCATCGGAATAAAAATAACAAACCCAAGCTCACCACCTTGCTAAGTTTGGCAAATAACAGCCCTATAAAGCAATCTGTTGGCACATCTAGCAGAGGATTTTTAAGAGTGATTGGTTGCTTTGGCCCATAGACCTACATGTATCCTCGATTACGAAACAAAATGCGGATGCGTTGTCACCCGTGAGCTAAGATGGAATGCCTTATCTACAGTAAAAATGGTCTCCGGTTCTCCACACTCACCATAGGAAACACAGCAGCATTAAGCTACTATTTTACGTTGGTATTCTGTGAGAGCGTGGTCCTTCTCCGGTCGAGCCGACCCAATAGTGCTACAACTATACTACTAATATAACTGCAGCATGGCTCTACTACGTGTTAAAGCTGAAGTGATAGCAGTATTGAAATTAAACATGAGATATACTAGATCACGTAATGATAATAATAATAATTGTTTATTTCCATTCCCATATTGTTATTAACAAACCAGAGTTTCAAATGAACTTAGGATTTTTATTACATTATTTTAACTTTATTAGTTAAAATAACATAAAACTAACCTACGAATAGTGACCGAACTCAAAATTGGCTACTTTTGGGAATCAACGAAAATGTAATTGCATTTCAAATATTTTTTTTTCAAATAACTATAAAATGAATATTTCTAGTAGCTCGTTAACCGGAGTTCTATTGTTAAAATCTTTGAAATGTGTTCTTTACTATGACATAAAAAGTTTTTGTTTTTAATAATCAGTTATTCTGTAAATTAAGTTTGAATACAGTCTTTCAAAGATAAGTCGTTGTTAAACAAAACAATCACACTTAATAATGACCGAATTCAAAATAAGTCAGTATTGTATTAATTTTTGTATGCTAAGATTGACCTAATGAAAAATAGGTTTTTATTGTATTAAAATATGCGGTTGTAAAATCGACTCATTAAAACTTAAGTCTGTATACTATTAAATAATTACATTCATATTATAATTTACCTGTTAATAATTTAATTATTTAAAATGCTCAGTTATTAAACATTGAAGGGATTTACTGCCCATAACACAAAAAAGTTAATTAAGACATTAATACTTATATAACTAATGCTTTATAGTCATTTCAAAAAATTTACAACTGTGTAACGAAATGAGTATCAAAAACCTATCCTATCCATTATATTATAAATTAAATTATAAATATGAGATCAGGAATGAGAACTTTATCAGAAATACTTAATAAGAGACCTTTTAAAGAAACAAAAACATACATTTTACTTAATTATTTATAAGATTTATCCGTAATATTTAGTTGTGTAGCAGTTACTTTCTAATAAAGTACGCAATGTATGTAAATTGTAATAAAAACAAAACAATCTAAAATACAAAATAGTTGCTTTTGGATGTATCAAAAACAAATAGTCTTAGAGAACTTAACCTACATCACAAAATAGTTTCGTTAAGGCACAAATTAAAAGTTAAAGATAAAAAATTATTTAGCATGTAAAGTGACAGCTTTCCGAAAACTAAAACCATGGACTTGGACCAGCGTTTTGAGCAACTTTTCCAACAAAACTTCTCGGGAACGAACTTAAATTCCCAAGAAAAGTTTTTTGGAAATATTGGCTTGAGTCCATGGGTATGTGTTTTAGGAAAACTACGTCTAATAAGTACTCTGTATTTTTATAATTAAATAAAGTTATGACAAATAATATTTTTAAAATAAATCTGTATAATACCTATTTGGAAAAACCGGCACAACCTTTTTTGAAATAAGAGTTTGAAAGTCTTTTTTCTTTCTGTCATCAAGCTCAAACTTTTTGCTATAAGCCTTTACGCACATTATATCTTACGTTAACCTCTTTGTATTCTTTATCTTTATATGAAGTTTTGTAGTAAAAATGTAAAGGTTTATCTTTTTGAAATCGAATTATTTTTATATCGTTCCAACATACTTGACTCTTTTCAGAATTTTTATTACAGTTGACAAAACATTTTTTTTTGTAGAGATTTTAAGTCGATGAAATCATCATAGGTCAATGTGTGAACTTTAAATTTACTTCCATTTTTTTTTTCGCATTTTGAATAAGCGTAACGTACTGTTGAGGAATGTAAATATTGTCAGCTCTCAAGTATTTTTTCTTTTCTTTTTTTTTCAGGCCGTGTACATTATCGTTTTCATTTTGTGTGTGTCCTTTTATGAGAAATTTATGAGTTATTGTCTCAATGTTTTCAAAGTTAGCCAAGGCATACATATACAATGTAGCAATGAATTAATTTTTGTTTTGGCCATAGCAATTGTCGGAATAAAATATAACATTGACGGATTTACTCGTATTCTTCTCATTAATTGCATTTAAAAATTTAAAAACACAAGTACCAATTTCGACAGAACCTTTTTTGTCCTTGGGTCTCATCCCAAAAATAGCATTGTACGTCTGTATATGCCCTATTACTGTCTTCCTCAACTAAGTTTTTTTTCGCTAGCTCAGCAATTGTGAAATTATAACAATTTAATCTAGTTGAATAATAAAAACTGCTGCAGTTACCGTCTGGCACCTGTAAAATAGCCTGTAAATCGTAAATGGCACATATGTTTGTGTTATTAATAGCGTATGTCTTTTTATTTTTCTGTCTTGACAAATCTTTTTCTTCCAAATGCATTTCATATTCTTCTTTTAGGTTCAGGTCAGGGTTTAATCTCTAGTTGCTGCAAATGACACCAAGATCTTTTTTCGGTTGCTCCATTTTCAAGCCAGATTCTTTAAATAATTGATAAAAATTGCAAAATTTTCCATATGGTTTGCCGTTAGCTTCTTGAGCCTCAACAAAGTCTTGATAAATGTCTGTTATGGTTTTGTTCGAATTTATATACTCACAAGATGACGTGGCTCTAGTAAAATGAGATTCCAAACGGGGAATATTGTCAATAAAATTAATTATATCTTGTTTTAAATTCAAATTAAGTTTTTTTTGTTTTCCATGTTTACCGCGTTTATCTTCAATCAAAAAATCATTAGGATCACTTTTATCTTTTATAGTACGAAGCATTCTATCAATAACGCCAAAGGCATTAATAAAAAAAAGTTTTGCAAACTTTTTTCTTATTGTCATTCTGCAATTTTATATAAAAGGCAAAATTTGGCTTCCTTGGATTTTCTGTTAAGGTGTATTTATATTTAGGATGAACTTCTAGCATACAGCTCTTTAAATACATTCTTTGTTGATGTAGATCACCCAAACTCCAAAATTTGTTTAATATGTGTTTTCGTTCTTGTTCAGAAGTAGACATTGAACATTTTAATCTGCATTTTTCATTGCACGATGGTTTTATAGTACGAGCTTGAATTTCTTTTTTTAGATGTAACAGAAATATAAGCATGGCCGGTATTTCTTTGTTTTTTCGCCAAATTGCTTTTCCAAAACTGAGGATCTCCCTTTTTATTTTTTTTTTATTGGCCTGTTTAGAAACTATTTGAGAATTTGGACTTGGTTGAGGACTTGAACACGACTGAAAACTTGGACCCGGTTGAGGACTTCGAATGCATTGAGAACTTGGACCCGACTGAGGACTTGGACACGGCTGAGGACTTGGACATGGCTGGAAACTTTGACCCGGTCGAGGACTTTGATGCGATTGAAAATTTGGATCCGGCTGAGGTATTGGACTCGACTGAGAACTTGAACTTGACTTAGACATGTTAATGTCATTTTTGTTAAATAAAAGATCAGTTTTGCTCCGTTTTATTTCCTTCAGATCACATGTTGTGTAAGTTGGGTCCGAGTCGCTTAGATCGGCGTCACTTTCACCAGAGTTAATTGGCGAAATTACATAATTTTTCTTACATGAACGCGATTTTCGCAAAGATTTATCCCTAGATGAAATAATTGGAAAAAAACATAAAGTGAAGTCTTCTTGTGTATAAACGTTATATTGCTGCTTTTTATATAAATTTTCGTCTTTAGAACAAATTGTAACCGAAGAATAGTTATTGTGGTCACCAACGTCATTTTCCTGCTGAATATTACTGTTGTTGTTTTCAATAAAGTATTTTTCAGAAGTTGTCTCTTGTGGTACCGCCGACAGTGGATTATTGTTGAACTGTAGCCGACGTCTGACTGACGTCAACTTATCATCGCTAAATCGGCGTCTTACTTTTCTATTTATTCCATCTTGTATGCCCTTTGAATGAAAAAAAAATACTATAGCGTCCCGAAGAAAACAATATCATATCTAAAAGGATGTTTTAATATCAATACAATTAAAATAATAATAAAAGAAGAATAAAGGAAGTGTAAAAGGGATACACTGCCTTTATCCACCGCCACCCCAAGATCCTACATATAAAAAACCTAATTTACTTACCAATTTTTCATTTAAACTTTCCTTAGAGGAAAGGTTCTTAAATATTTCTTTCATTCTCCGTTTTTCCATGTTGGAATATGTATGCTGTTTTATTATCTGTAATAATAAAAACGTACAATAAGCTATGAAGTACCTTTTTTACAGAACTTATTAACATACAAAACCTAATTTTTTTTAAACATTTTTAATCCTAAACTGACATTACTTTATATAAGTCATTTAATTTTGTAGTAAATTTAACAAATAGTGACTTATTATTATATAAGATAAAAAATCTCGCATGTTTTTTAAACAACAATGACTTAATTCTAATCGTGTCATAAAATTATTCAACATTTTAATTTTATACTGTCCAAAAACGAAATAGGTCAATATTTCTATTGAATGTTTCGTACAATACCGACCTGTCTTGAAATCAGTCAATATTTTGAAAAAATCTTTAAATGATACTCACCTCAATTTTTGTGCAACAACGACATATCTCAAAATAAGCCATCGTTAGACACAACCTCCTCGTACGACTGCGGACGCAACAATGTATGCGTCGGTGTTGCATCCAAGAGGGGAAGCGAGGACCGTAGTGAAACAACGACACAAAAAAGTTATCTCATAAATCCGCAGAAATAGAGGTGTTTTTTAAATGTCACATTGTAGAGCTCCGTTTACAAGATCAGTTTTTGACCGTAACTAAAAACTGACAAATTTTGAATTTGGTCACTGTTGCACTAAGAGTGCGATATATATATATATATATATATATAGAGAGAGAGAGAGAGAGAGAGAGAGAGAGAGAACTGAACCGTGAAGAGCTGAACCTCAAGTGGGACGTATATAGGCTGTATTAAAAAAGTATATAATATAAATATATTAAATAAACAAATATAAAAAAATGTGTTACATATAAATTTATAATATAGAATATTTGACATGAACATTTTAGAAAAATGAAGGGAACGGTCCATAATATGATGTTAGCACGTGATAAAATAATAGGTACAACGAGCACATGAATCTCGTAGTAATACTTACATGTGCGTTTGACAACTGTCGAGAGTTTTGATAAAAAATTGTAGAGACATGACCATCCCTGCTCGTTTCTTTCTACTGTAGTAAGTTTAAGAAGCTCTAAATTTCTTAACATTCTTTTCAAACACACAGAATTATTAAGTTAGGTTCTGTTGTGAATTTAAATAATTTACAACTTAATGATAATTTAGAAATATTATTGCAACGTAATTAATGTTATAAACTTTCATATTACCTTTAAATATTATACTATATATTAATTAAAATTATTTAGATTTTAATCTCTTTTAATATATTCTCAGCTTTATGTCAAACTAAATCACGATAATATGCTCTGTTTTTTTTTGAAGAGTAAGGTGATAAACGAGCTTTTAATCTAACTGATGATTAGAGAATGCTGTGGCCCATAGACATTTATTCTCAGTTAAGAATCAAAATGCAGATGCGTTGCCACCCTTGATGACTAAGATGGAGTGCCGCTTTCCCAGTAGTAAGGTTCTCCGGTTCTTTACAACCACCATACGAAACACATTAACATTTAGTTGCTACTAAACCTCGACCAAGCCGACCCATTCTACTACAAACATTATAGCAGCACTGCTCTACCACGAAGAAAAGAAAAAAAAGAGTAAATAATTGTAGCAGGTCCATTATGAGTAACTCTTGCAGTAAGTTGTCGAAATCAGTAAAGTTAAAATAAAGTGTAGCTCATATACGTCCTACTGTGTGATTTTTTAAGGCACAAGGCCGGTGGGAATCGAGTTCAGCTCGCGTCACTCAATATTTTTAAGCAATCAGTTCCTCCTGAGCTACCATAGCCTCTCAGGAAGTGAATTGTCAATCGATGATTGGAACCAATTTTAGACATTTTGCGACTTCGGATTTTTTGTGGTTGTAAGTTTGAGTACTGAGGTTGATATTATGTTGTCCAAAAGCCCCTATATATTTTTTATATATTTTTTACTTATTTTTATTTAGTTGATTTCAATAATACCTATGGGATGAACATAAGTGGTGGTTTCTGATTGACCGTTACATTTGGTAAACTAAACATACTTAATTATGATGTGGCGGCAATTAAAATGTATTGCCCTAGTCGTATGAAAGCCAGTGAAATTGCATGAAAATAGCTTACGATAATTACTCGTTAAAATTTTTCACAAACGTTTTTCAGGACTATCGTATTTAACAACTTTAAAGTATTCAACAACTACCAATAACTATTATGTTCAACTATAACCGATACCAATAAAACTGTATGGTGTAATCTTCATCTTCTTTTTAGCGAACTTAAAAAAGAAGATTCTCAATTCGATTTTATGTTACATACTAAAAGTGGTAAAATATAATTTTGGATTTGTAAATTTTAAATATATATATTTTTTTCAATTAACTGCTTCAAATCAATTAATAATTCTCTTTTTCAAACGTACGCTGCTCTATTAAGATATTATAATATATTTTAAGACTATTGATATTAAGAAAACCGCCGATCTGTGCGGGATTTCCGTCAAAGTTATTGCGTCTGTAATAGATACAATTGCACCTCAACTATCTGTTATTTTTAACACTAGTATCGAATCTGATGTGTTTATTGTTTAAATGAAACATAGTAAAGTAATACCTTTATTTAAATCTGGTAGTACATTGGACCCCGCTAATTTTAGACATATATATGTACTAATGATTTCTTAAATTTACGCGAACACTACACATAGAATAAAAACTAAATTTACGGATTTTATCGCGTTTATTTCACTACTTTTACTTATTTTTAATTCCCGACGTTTCGGGTGCTTTACAGCAACCCTGGTCACGGGGGGGACTGAGGTGTTTGACGTCCCAATGTCATAGTTAGTCCGGCTACCTTCCGTTTTTGAATATTAATTTTTGGTCCGATTTACGCAAAACGAGCTTATAGTATCATGAAGTCTTGCAGTGGTATGCTTAGGTTTGGGTTTAATTTTGTTAATTATAGGATCCCAAGCAGGTGGCAGCATCCATCCATCTTCTCTATTGAAATTTGGATGTTTTTTAATTTCAATAGCCTCGCGCATCATCCTTGGTAGGAATCGGTGTTCTTTTGCGAGAATTTGTGGTTTATCAAAACGAATGTAATGGTGGGGACGATCTTGAACATGTTCGCAGACTGCAGAAGTCTGCAGTCTGCAGTCTACAGAAGTCTGCAGTCTGCAGTCTGCAGAAGTCGAGTCTGAAGAAATCGGACCAAAAATTAATATTCAAAAACTGAAGGTAGCCGGACTAACTATGACATTGGGACGTCAAACATCTCAGTCCCCCCCGTGACCATGGTTGCTGTAAAGCACCCGAAACGTCGGGAATTAAGAATAAGTAAAAGTAGTGAAATAAACGCGATAAAATCCGTAAATTTAGTTTTTATTCTATATATATGTACTGCCAACTTAGTTAAGTTTTAGAAAAAGTTATTCTTGATCAGATGTTAGATTTTTTAACGTAAATAATTTACTTCATAAAAATCAATTCGGTTTCACAAGCGGTCGCTCGACAATTGATATTGGTGTTGAGCTGATTAAATATATCTTTAATGCATGGGAGAACTCACAGGATGTTTTGATTATATTCTGTGACCTATCCAAGGCCTTCAATTGTGTTCCCCATGAAACATTAACCAGGAAACTTCAACACTACGATGTAATTTATGATCTTAAATTAATTATTTCATATTTAAGGAACAGAACGCAAAAAGTTGTCATTAATAGTATGAGTTCTTCCGGTTCGATAGTACAAATGGGCGTGCCTCAGGGCTTAATTCTTGCCCTTTTTCTGTTTCTTGTATATATTAATAACTTACCCTACGTAGTGGGGGATAAACATATAGTACTATTCGCTGACGATACTTCATTAATTATCAAATCAAAACGACGGTTACTAAATTGTGACGAAGTAAATAATGCTATAGCTATGTTATTCAACTGGTTTAATGTTAACAATTTGCATTTAAATGGAACTAAATCTAAATGTATGAAATTCGTTACTCCAAATATTAGACATGTTAATACTAATGTAATTTTAAATGGGGAGGAGCTGAGTCTTGTTTTTTCACAGTAGACGCAACTCTTTAACGGGGCCCCCATATATCAAAATTAGCTAGCTGACTTAGTTCTGCAGCATATGCTGTAAAAATATAAGAACTCTTACCAGTGTTTAAACAGCTAGACTCCATTTTCCATAGCATAATGTCGTAAGATATTTCGCTATGGGGACACGCGACTGACACAGAAATTATATTTGTTTTACAAAAGAGGGCCATTAGAGCAATATA